TAAGGCAAACAAAATTCAAAAAGTTTCTCTGACAAAACTAAACCAGAATGTGACACAAACTTTTGGACTCTCAACCCATTGGTCTTTGTGCTTCACCATGGGCAGCTCACCCATGTAGCTGAGGTAAAGCATGTCGTTCTCCTCAGCCACACAGCAGACGTGAAGGTGCTCTGTGGGGCTTAATGCAGCAGACAAGAGCTAGATCTGTGCATAAATGAAAGCCTGGTGAGATCAGATCACCCAAAGAGAGAAAACCCAATCTCTGGCATCAGGAGGCTGGATGCGTAGCAGCAACTTATTCTGCAGAGGAAAGCCTCTGTGGGAATAACCGGGCTTATCGTGAAGGGTGAGCCTATAGGTGGAGACCAAAAGATCCTTGGTGGTAGAAGAAAAATAACCACCTTCTATTTGGTCAGGTTTAATAGACCAGTGCAGTGATGGTGAACCTTCTAGAGACCAAGGGCCCACACTGCAATGCAAAACCCACTTCTTTATCACAAAGTGCCAACGCTGCAATTAAACCAGAATACTGAGGTTTTAGTGTAGAAAAAGCAACTCATGCCTTGGCTTGAGCTTGTGTGCCAACAAAGAGGACTCTGTGTGCCTGCTGCAGAACGTGTGTCATAGGCTCGCCACCACTGGCCTAATGCCTACAGAGATGACTTGAGCATCACAATAGGGGGCTGACAGTTTCGTTGTGGGGGGTCCCTTAAATCACCTTCTCTGTCACTCTTTTCCTCTTTTTCCTACCTGCTCACTTTAGGCAGAGTTCAGCCATTGCCTACATGCAAAGGTCTTCCAAGTTTTATTCCCAGGCCCGGCTTTACCATCTGGCCCCATAATGAGCTACACAATGGACCTCACCCCTTCTGAGTACCAGTGGGAATTGTACTGGATTTTCCCCCAGACTCCATACCTACCAAGACCACCTTTGCAGGAAGGCATCAGTAGGTTCTAAAAGTGCTGAAGGAGGAAGGATAGGAAAGACATTCCAGGCTGGTGAGGACGCTGACAGAGGCATCGATATGAAAGTGAGGGTGTGTGGGGAGCAATAAGGAGGCAGACCTGACAGGCACAAAGGCCAGGCAGATGCCTCCTAAGAGAGAAAGAAGCTGGCTACCAACACTGGGACCTCAGATTGAAGGGGCTGCCCTTTCCAGGGGAAGAAATTGGACTCTGTATAGTGAACCAGCCAAACAGGCAAGGGACAAAATAACCTACACTTAAGAAGACTAATCGGGTTGCACAAGCCTGAGGACATTGTTATGGCTTGTATCTAGATGTTTCCCCAAAGCCTCATGCACTCAGGTGGGGCTTTTCAGAGCTGGCTGGATCTGGTGCATGATACCAGAATTAAGAGTGTGATGCTGGGACTCAGGAAGCCTCACCCTGGGTATGGATGGCAACACCCAAAGAGTGGGTAGTGTGGATGGGATACAAAGGGACAGAAGGGGTGCTGCCACTTCTGTTGCAGTCATTGTTTGTTGCTTTGCTGCCTTCTTCCTGCCCTGCCTTCCAGGGACTGTTCCTTCTCTGTGAATCCCCTGCCATGCAACCCTGCCTTGGAGCCGGCTGACTATAGGTTGAAATTCTACCAGCTGTGACCTATGATAAACCTTTCCTCCTTTAACTTGGAGTGTTGAGTATCATTATAGCTTGTGTTTAGATGTCCCGCCAACGCCTCGTGCTCTCTCAGCAGTGGTTGAATCTAGAGTGTGTGATGGATTCCTGGTGGGGCTAGGCCGAGGGCTCTAGGATTAAGGCTGTGAGGACTACCCACCCTGAGTGGTCTGAATAAGATAAAAGGGGCAGAAAGATGTTGCTAAGGTCCCTTGTTGCTTCTGCTGTCTTCCTCCGCCCTGAACTGTTTCTCCAACTGCCACCCTGCCTTGGAGCCTGCCGATTGTGGACTGAAACCTCTATGAAATGTAAGCCAAATAAACCTTTCCCCTTTAACTTTGGGTTTTGGGTATTTTGTCTCAGTGATGAGAGAAGTAACTAAGACAGACATGAACATGGAGAACATAACTGCAGTGATGGAGATACTAAATGCCTAAACAGAAATGAAGTGCAAGGAGTTAAATCGAAATCGTTTACAGGCATTAGTGGCTAAAGAGGAAAACAAAATGGTAGAAAATAGTACTGAACATTGTGATTTCTTCTGATACTATAAATGTAGGATTGATGCAGACCTATTGAATTGGAATCTCTGAGGGTTGTAGTAGGTGTGTGTCTTCTGAAGGCTCTGCAAGCTTGCAATGGAGACCCACTGGCCTATGTGGCAAAGCACACTGATTCTGGGCTCAGTATCTTTTGGTTGGCTTTGCAGTGCTTTGCTAGGAGATGGTAGGAAATGCTTGACTGCAGTTCTGACTATCAGAACTAGAGTCCAGCAGAACTGCAGGAGAACTGGGCTGAAGCATCAGCTACAGAAGGCCTGGTGGAGAAACTGCTGCATACCACACCCTGAAGAATGGCTGGGCCATATCTATGTACAGACAGATGGGCAATGACCTGGTGAAAGTGGGTATTGCACTGTGCAATGTTTTTGAGCAGGAGAGTATGGGTACCAGTTTAAGTAGCTGAGAAAGCCAGCTAGCCTTCCAGCCTCTTCTGCTGGCCCTCGGTGCAAAGCTGGTGGCCCCCGCCCCACGGAAGCCATGGGACAGCACACTTTACCCTCACTTTTCTCATCGCTCCCATGTGCAGCCACAGGATGGCCCTGTTCTGTCACAGCACTCACCTGGAATGCAGGTTCCCCCCATTCACACTAAAATGCAAAGGATACAAACCAGGGTGCAACTGTACTTGCTGAACCCTCATCGTGTTCTTCCCCCAGCACTGTGGTGTGGGGTGGACAGAGCTTATCCTATCTTATGGTGAGAAAAGAAAGCTCAGACTCACTGCAGAAGCCCGGCCATCAGGGAGTGTCTAAGTGGGGGCTGGTCTTGCCGCAGCACTTGCATTTAAACTGGGCCCAGAGCCCTGTGCCAATGGCGTGTGCGCTCACCGAGGACTTTGGACGTCATCCCGGAGAGAGGAGATTGAGCCCATGATGTGCCCATCACTCCACATGGGGCATTGCCGTTGCCTCCATATTACCTGCCTCTTGGGCGACGGAAGCAAGTGAGGGCAAATCCTGAGTTTACTTTACCTGTCCAGGAAATGAAAATAACTCCAGCCGTGTCCCAGGGTGTTCCTGGAAATTTCCGCAAAGCCACCTGGACAGCGGGCTTGCCCCACAGCAGGCTTCAACAGAGCTCACTGCCCTTCCCGTCCACCTGCACTGCCGGTCAAAGCCCAGCCATGTAGGCCACTGTGGAGGTCCTTCCTGATGCTCCTTCTGTGCTTGCCCTCACCTCTTCTCTCCCCTCCATCCCTTAGTCCAGCCACACCCACCCTCCTTCGCTTCTCAGACCAGCCGGGCACCTTCCCTCCCCGTTCTCTGAGTGAGTCCAGGTTCCTCCACCAGAACTCCACCCTGTCCCACACGTGAGCACTGCTGTTCCCCTCCAGTGTCGCCTCCGGTGTCCTCGGCTCTCGCGGTGGGGGGCTCCTCCCGTCACTCTTTCTCTCTGGATCCTATAATTTCCCTTTGTCACATTTAATACCATTTGTAAGCACTGGTGTATGTCACTGCGATTTTCAGTGTATGTTAGCCCCATATAAGTTCACTGCTGTAACACGGTCTCTTCCCCTCGACTGAAGATTCCTGTGAGGCAAGAACCGTGTCTGTTTACTGAGCACTGTTCTCAGTAGCCCCGGTACACAATCAGAATTGAGCACACAGGCAGGTTCATAAGCGTCTGCCACCTGAGTGTCCGGTAGCTGCTGTTCCTGGATGTCCTCCTGCATCTCCTCCCCAATCCATGTCTACATCCCAGAAAACGAAAACAAAAGCTCACAGAGCCCATATTCTCTGACCTTATACTTAATTTTGTTTCCCCAACATGAATCGAGTTGTGTTCTCAGGTTGCCTCATAATTCCTTAGTCCTGTGGTCAGTCCTCTCTTTTTGGACTTTCTCACGTACATCCTCTAACACTTCTAGAACCGTGAAGAACGGGAAAATAGACCCATCATCCAGTCCTAGTATCTCCCTTTCACAGAGAAACCCTCACATAGCAAATACGGAGAATGTACTGCAGCAGAGCAGTTTCTAACCATCACTTGCTTACCTTCCTTTTCCTTGAATTAGCATTTTGAGTTTCAGTAAGAAGCAAACAATCTTCTCTTGAAAGGGGGACTGGATTGAATTTTTAATAAGAAAGTTTGAATTGGGAGCTTGCATTTTTTCCTAAAATTTAATAACAGCACTAGGGAAGTCCCACATTCCCCAGCTGGCCTTATTTCAGGTATGAAAGAATAAAGCTTCTAGGGTTAACTGGAAAGATGGGCAAGGCCTGTTAAATTCACTGAGCATCTAGGCAGTGCATGTTTTCAGAATCCAGGACTAGAGAGCAAGCATGAACAAAAACAGCAAGGTCCTCAGAGCCTCTGTCCTCAAACACTGGGTACCCATAGTTACACTGACAACCTCAAGAAGCAGTCCCTTTGGATCTCACCCTTTTCTCTCCTCAAAACTAAATGAAACAAAAATATGTTGGGCTGAGGATGGGGCTCAGTGGCACCGTGCCTGCTTCACAAGCGCAAGGTCCTCAGTTCAATCCCTGGTACAAAAAAAAAAAAAAAGTAAGTAAAACACATCGTTATTGCTAGGGTGACAGTTCACTGAACTGGGATTTCAACATTCACCATACTAAAAGATATTCTAAAAATATCTCCCCCCTAGATGTAATAGTTGATCTTATAACACAGGCCAGGAACAGAGGTAAGTTTTGCTAAGTACCTGTTAACCCACACAAATTGCCAGGCTTGGTGTGGGTCTGTTTTTCAAGGAATGTGTCACTGAATCACCCGCGTTTTCCACCTCTGGTTGGATTTGTGACAGTTGACAGCTCGTAAGGATGGCCGCTGATGATGTGTTCTCTCCCTGTGCAGGCTTCTGCAGTCCTGAAGGTTGATGGAGGGCCATGCTATTCAAACAGCAGGTGTGGCTGAGACAGAAGCTCCTGGTGCTGGGAAGCCTCGCTGTCGGGAGTCTCCTGTATCTAGTTGCCAGAGTTGGGAGCTTGGATAGGTGGGTTATGGAACACAGCCCCTGTGACTCCATGGCTTTCGACTTAAACTTCCTTAGGGTGTAACTTGAAGTCTATGCATTTGTTTTCTCCCCTCAGAATTCCCAGGAAACACATTTTGCTGCTTTATTGATTTTGATTTATGGAGACTTTTTAAAAAGCAGATCCAAGTGGCACAAATCAAGGTTCTCCTTCAGGATCCATTTGTATTCTGTGTACATTGACATTTGTTTTCAGAGAAGGAGCAAAGCTATGTGGGTTTTGTTTTGTTTTTTTTAATGTTTACTAGAGCATAGTGCAGTCTCTGTGTGTCTGGTGTTGACCTCTGGCCACAGCAAAACAGCATTCCTGGAACTGTGTCTCTTCACTTTGAAATCTAGGTGTGCACAGCTAACGTGCTCTCAAGAGTGTCAGAATTACGTGTGTTCCATAAAGAAGTTCACGGGTTTGCAATCCCTTGGCTCGAAAGATGGCTTCAGGTGTGGATTTTTACCTATGTTAATTAGCTCTGGTTTTCAGGAGCTGAACACACCAGGCAAGGAGGCTGTCACTCAGACAAATTGCCAAGAAGGCAGTGGGAAATCCGTGGAGGGGAAATTACAGAGGCAGGGTTTGACTCTAAATATGCAGACAGTTGAGAGATACTAGATCGCAGAAGTCCCGGCAACATCAGCTGACTGTCTGCTAAGTGCTTCTGGGCTGCTTTGCATCCAGTGTGATTGGCAGGAAAACGGGAGTTCATTTCAGAAATGGGAAGCTTCTTTCTTTGCCCTTTAAAATTCATTCTGGTACCGCAGAGAGTGACGTATGCTCTCTTTGAGCTCAATTCCCCCTGTTGGTGGAAACACGGGTACATGTTAAGGTGAAAATATCTGCTTTTCCAGTTTCTTTGCAGAACACAACTAATCTATATACCTTATTATTCAGATAGTCAAAAATAATATATAGTTCTCTTTCTTATCTTCCTGTAGCCATTATCCATTCTCCCTGCTGAACTGAATCCCTTTGATGGTTTTCAACACAGAATTCTTTAGTAAATCTTCTGCAGTTGTTACCTCCCATGGGAGAAATATATTGCATGCTTTCGCTTGAGGTCTGTACCCCCTGTTTCCTCCAGAAGCACTTAGTAAAAAGCTTTGCAGTGGTCACATCGTCTTGTGTCCATGGTGGAATGTTTTGTCAGCTCATTATTGATTTCTTCAATAAGCTTCCAATCACTTGCTCTTTAACTGAGTAATTGATCTAGCAGTCATTAACATGGCCATACAGTATTTAGCTGATGATTCTTTTCATTTTTAACTTGCTCTCTAGTCTGCGATGGGATAACTTTTTTATAAGGAATCAGGTTATTTGGGGGGCTTTCTTGAAGCCCCTCACTTGAGAGTTTGAACAGATATAGGTCTGAAATTGACACATGTATATGTCGTATAAGCAACTGAAGACCCTGAGAGTTGGGAAGGAGGCTGAGGTTGCCTTACTGTGTCTTCCACTTTCAGTGTATGTGTTCTGGTCAGGAACTCATGATGAGAATTTGGTCTCCAGCATGTGGGCGAAGTGTGCTGTTTTTCACCTGTCTTTACATGTTCTGACGAGTTCAGGAGTCAGAAAAGTAATTGTGCTGCAGGGTCTTATCTGCCAGGATAGGAAGTAGAAAGAGGAAGTGAAGAAGGAAAATGATCCTTTCTAAAGGTGGGGAAATTCCATCCCAGCTCAATCAAGGCAGAGATTCCCTGCCAGCCTCTCTAGCCAGGCTTCTGCAAAAGAATTAAATACTGCAGAAACAGATGTGAAGCGCAGCTCCCTCATTCCTCCCAAAGACAGCACTGGCATCATCCTAGATGCGTAGAATGAGTCCACCGGTGGCTGCCTTAGCAGATGGAACTTAAGTCCCAGGCAGAACCCAGGGCTGAAAGACAGGACTATAACACTCTATCGATGTCACCATCAAAAACACGCTTGAGTATCATGAAAATGTCACAAAGGAACACATGCTGTTCAATCATTACATGCCAATTATTGCAGTAAAATAAAGCATTTGAACAAGAAAAACTATTTGCATGTCTGTTGATAATTTTATTTCTTCTGTTTAGAGCCCTAGTGTATTAATACCATTAACAAATTTGTAAAAATGAAATTTATGTTTCTCAAAAGGGTTAAATCTGGTGAACCCTGTGTTCCTAATAGCTTTTCATTTTTTATACTTTCCACAACAGGAATGAATTGTTTCAAAAATCTTAAAAAATAAGTGCTAGACAGTTTGTAATAGCTAAATCTTGGAAACAACCTATTTGCCCATCCGTTGGAAACTGGATAAAGAAGTTGTGGTTTTTCTATAAAATGGAATATTACTCAGCCATAAAGAGCGAGAGAATAGATTCATTCATAGGAAAATGGATACATATTGAAGATATACTCCTAAGTGAAATAAA